GCCGCATCTTCTCATGTTATATTCCACCCCCCCCCCCTTTCCTCGTCGATCACCTGAATTCGACAGTTGGAATGGTGTTCGTGTCTTGCTTGTTGCGTGTTCAGTGTAACGGCAGTGTGCTCACTTGACTCTTCTCCTCTTGTCTGTTTTCACGAGATGTTCTCTGCGTACCCGAGAGCTAAAAGTTTGCTTTTGTCTTATTTTCCTGCAACCTCACAGCCGCCTTGACGCTGACTTGTACCCTCTGGGATCCGGCTACGTCCCTGAAATTGAGTAAGGAAGGTTTCTTTCTTGCGTCCCCTGTTCAAGAATTTGGTATTACTCTACATTTGCGGCAATTTCCTGCTGACAGCCCCTTTGTTTTGTCTTTTCCACAGCAGTGTCCATGACATATCAGTTGGCACAAAGGTAAACATCGTTTGTCTATTTGTCGTGTCTTTTACTCGTTTTCTTTCATTGTAACTGCTTTTATCCATGGGAAGGGAGATTATGTGTGGGGGGGGGGTGGCGGGATTTTGCTTTATTACCCGCGTTATGAAGTCTGTTTCTTGTGTAATTGTTGAAGGTGCACTGTAATTAACAGGATTGGTTGACCTAAATGCATGCCCAAAAGTTCCACAGATGTTACTCTGGCCTCTGAGACATAAGTCAGTTGTTTACGTATACTTTGTGAACAGTCGAAAGCGTGAAGAAGCGTTGCGGACACTGGGAAAGAGTTGGCTTGTCCATTTGCTCGAGCTTCTCCCCTGTAATTATGAAAGTGCTGTCTAAAGCCGTTTTGTTGCGGTTGCGACGGCAATCATCTCTCATGACGTCCGATCTGGTATGCGGCGGTTGGCCGTCAACAGTGCAGCTATTTGAAAATGAATCTTCCTGTTTATTCGTCGTGTTCTCAGGGAGCATTTTCAACTCCCCTTGGACTTGAGAGTATTGTCTCGGCCCCAACTTTAAAAAAAACAAAAAAAAAAACAGCTTGAATCTTAAGGTCTTGTTTAATCTCTTGGCAGCAATCGACGGTTTTAGGGCAGATGTTCAAAGACTTTGCCGCAAACATCAAAGGACCACAGTTACTGGTCAGTCTGGGCCGATGCGACTTTGCTACGTATTATCTCTCTGCTCCGTAAAAAAGCACCTGGGCAACAGGATAGTGTGGGTGGCATGACTGGAAGCAATGTCGAGCTATTGTTTCGCAGGCCAAAGGTCTGCGTGTAATCTCTTGGCAGCAATCGACGGTTTTAGGGCAGATGTTCAAAGACTTTGCCGCAAACATCAAAGGACCACAGTTACTGGTCAGTCTGGGCCGATGCGACTTTGCTACGTATTATCTCTCTGCTCCGTAAAAAAGCACCTGGGCAACAGGATAGTGTGGGTGGCATGACTGGAAGCAATGTCGAGCTATTGTTTCGCAGGCCAAAGGTCTGCGTGTCTGTTTGAACAAGTCATCAGGTACGTGCCTTCGACGGGGGACAAACCACACCCTCTCTCCTTCCAGCCTAGCCTGTTTTTCAACATAGTCTCCCTGATGGCCGGATACTCCACTTGTGATAAATAAGTATTTGCGACGCTCACTGACGGTGCCCTGCTTTGCTGGAATCTTGTAATTATTCGTCTGGGGAAGAGCGTCTGGAATTCCACGGTCACATTCCAAAGCCCTCCTCCCCCAAAGTCCCCCTGGTGAGACTCCCTGCCCCCTCCCATTCACCGCAGTGGCAGATGATGGAAAAAAACATGCGCATACCTGCACCCACCGTCGTTTTACTACCTTACTCCCAAGTCCAAATGGTTTTTGTTCTTAGCGCTAAACAAAAACAAGTTTTTTTAAGAGGCAGTAAAACAGCCTACCGTTCAAATGTTCCATTTTGAGTGGAAGCCGCACAACATGTTGAGGAAGTGAGCCAGTCATGCGTCACCATTATCTGAAGGTCTCTATTTAGCCGTTGGTGCCGCGAGAGAGAGAACTACGGGCTCATCTAGTGCAATTATGTTAGTTTTGAACGCCCCCACCCCAAAAAAAAGGCAACGGTTTTGCTTTTACACATATTGTAGCTTCTCAGCTCTGTGGATATAATTGGAATGAGGAACAAGAGGGAAATACCATGAAGCATGTAATCATGAAGTCCCCATCAGGGAGTTAACTAGAAGCCAGGAAGCAGGCCTGGTCTTGCTGCCGCTCTTCCTGTTTTTTTTTTTTTTCCTCCTCCCCCCTCCTTGTTTTAATTTTCCAACTTGTCAAAACGGGGGAGGAAATCCACAGAGTTGTTTTATTTCCATCAACCTAAAGTTGTCAGGAACAGCAATAATGTTTCTGGGTCAAAATGACCCCAAGGTTATGTTTTATCCAACAGGTGTCGGAAATGAAAAGCAAAATCAATAAAAAATAGTTGCCCTCATTATTACCTGAAAGTTATACATGACCGCTATCATACCATTTGTCATTTTGCATTTTTTTTAAAAAAATGACTTTGAGAGGATAAGACAAAGGATGGGTGGCTGGTGATTACATTTAGGCCAAGTGGAACTTTAAAATGGAGAAACGATTTTGTTATTCCTTTAAAATGCGTCACTTTGACCCTCTGCGCAACAAGAGGGTTAACTCAACTCATAAATAGTTGCCCTCATTATTACCTGAAAGTAAAAATGCGTCACTTTGACCCTCTGCGCAACAAGAGGGTTAACTCAACTCATGCGAAAGGAGCCAGCACAATGTGCCTTGTAGATGTGATCACACAGGCTAAAAACTGAAAACATTTTTTTTTTTCGCTAGCAAGTAGAACACGTGGATTTTAACTCAACTCATGCGAAAGGAGCCTTGTAGATGTGATCACACAGGCTAAATACTGATTTTTTTTTTTTCGCTAGCAAGTAGAACACGTGGATTAAAATGTTCATTAAACTACTTGGCCTGTTTCAATTAAACTTTGCCAAGTGGTGAGACATGGGCCAAAGGAGTAAGGCGAGATGAGCGTGTTGTTTTTTTGTTTGGGGGTGGGGGGTCAGTGTCCAATTTGATGCCTGGCCACCCGTTGGCGGAGGTATTGAGTGTCTGGGAACCTCCCACCTTGTGCAACGCAAAGGCTCTGTCGGGTTCACCAGCCATGAAAACAATTGCTCGCGAACCTGTGCGACCGGTTCCGTTTTAGAACAACTGCGAGGCCTCTTGAAATCCAGCGAGTCCTAAGGGGTTCCATATGTTTATGCTCTGCCACGTAACAATGCCCCCAGTCTCATCCGGAACAGGACCTTCATTCATTGTGGGCCCCCGTTGTGGAGCTTAGTCCACTGAGCCACTTCTTGTGACTGCCGTACTTCATTATCGCCAAGGCCATGTGAACAACATGGAGTGTTGGGGATGGACGAGGGCGGGGGCAGAGTTGGGAGAGGCTATCACTGTCCTTCCAGTTCAGATGGCGTCGACTTGTGTTTCTCTTCTCATACCCGGTTGAGAGTGCCGAGTGGCAGGAAGTGTTTTGAAAACGTCGGACTCTGGTCACGAGCGGTTGTCTACGCGTAACGATAGAGGCCCGTTCCGAAGTTACTCATGACCTGACAAACACATTAATTGTATGAGGAACACACCTAGGTCATTAGTATGAAACAAAAACAAAAATCCTGGCTAATGCGCCTGTGCAAACTAGTTTACTGGGTGCAATTGTTCACTCAAAATGTCAGATGTCGGGATCATCGTAAAACTACGCCAATACCTACCGGACCGGTCTTTGCAATAGTAACCGTTTTTATCTCCGTAGCGCCTTGTTGCTTCCTTCCTAAAAGCAATATGCGAATGTATGAACTGTGTTGCAACTCGGGGGGGGGGGAATAGGCTAACGCGGCTAAGTGGCCCACAAAAATTTCTGCCTGGAAACCATAACAACGCTCATCTTTGCGCCGCCCGGAACCATTTTTATCACACGGACGTTTGGAGTCGGTACGCACTCATTCAGGGGCATGGCTGCCAGTACGGATTACAGAGGAAAAAAAGATGCCCAAGTTTTGAGGTTGTTTTAAACGATTAAAAAAAGGATCAAAGTCATGTTTTATGTGATGACTGCAAATTGAAGCTGGGGTAGAAAGAGAGAAAGTGTCCGCACAGGAATTTGAGCACCCCGCCTTTACGCGACTACAAGGTGGCTAGTAATTTATTTTTCTAAGAAAACTCATTAGCTAATTTAATGCAACCTCTAATTAGAACAGCGATTATAAAAGTATTTGATGAAATCACGGATTCTGATTCGAAACAGATTTGTTGGTGACAGCCCTTGTGACAAACGAGAGCCATGGTTCTTGCATGTGCTTATTGGGGGGGAGCATTCGCACTTTGTCATATAAGCATCTTCACTCCAGAGACGCGCGCTCGAGGTGGAGCAATGCTCAAATGTGGCCGTCCCCTGTCAAATGTGGCCTTCTGCGGATTGTCACACCAAATGGGGTCTTCTGGGGCTGTAGTAAGTCAAACATTGAACTTGGGGATTCTGCTTAAGCCTCACGTGTTCATATTGTAAAAAAAAAAAAAAAAGCGATCAAATGTTTTCAGTGCCACTCCTTTTTTTTTTTTTTTTTTTTTAATGGATCTTCACGAGTCTTGGGCAAATTGCCTGAGTTTGCCGTCATTTGTCAATGACTTACGTCTCTTTGAAAACGACGCCTTCATGCACAGTGTGCGTGCGCCTGAGAAGTCAGGATGGAGAATCGTCTTTAGTGGTGACAAGGGCTTGTGAAAAAAAAAAAGAGAGAGAACTTAAGATGAACAGGAGAATCAGGCCCATCGTGTCAAATGACAAAGCCAAGTCGTCTCATTGTTAGTGGCCAGTAGAGGTTTTGTGTTTCCTTCTAAGGGGTGTTTTCATGACTCGGGTTACAGTACGTCCTACCTTAGCACACAATGGTTGGGTAACACGAGAGCCGTACTCGCCACCTGCACTCCTGCGCGCTCGTCGTTCCCCACATTAAAGCAAGCCTTTTTTCTTTCTTTCTTTCTTTTCCTACAGAGGGGATCTGACGAACTCTTTTCTTCCTGCATATCCAACGGGCCCTATATCATGAACTCAGGTAGGGGGTTGCCATGGAAGGTTTTTGTGTGTGTGGGGAGGGGGGGGGCGTCAGCTCTCATTTAAGTGCTTGCCTTGTCTGTGTTGTATGTGTTGCCACGGCGACCGATCCATTATTCAGGAAGGCCTAGAGACGCCTTTTCACTCCCCTGATTGTATCTGTCTCTTGTCCCCCTACCCCGCCCCCTTTGCAGCCAATGGCAACGACAGCAAAAAATTCAAGGGTGACGTCCGCAGTCCCGGTGTTCCGTCACGCGTCGTTCACCTGCGCAAGCTGCCCAGCGACATAAACGAGGCCGAGGTCATCGGGCTCGGTTTGCCCTTTGGGAAAGTCACTAATCTGCTGATGCTGAAAGGGAAAAACCAGGTAGGGCCTTGAAATGTGCACCGTGTCGTTAAGTTGACAATGAACATGTTTGTCATGCGTGTTGTTTAATTTTTCCTGTTTGAAAAACAGCTTTTTTTTTTTTTTTTAAATGCACGTGTTCTTCTCCATTTTACCCCATAGGCGTTCCTGGAGCTGAACAGCGAGGAGTGTGCTCAGACCATGGTGAGCTACTACTTGTCCGTGACGCCCGTCATCAGAAACCACCCCATTTACATGCAGTACTCCACCCACAAAGAGCTGAAGACGGACAACTCCCCCAACCAAGTGGTGAGGCGCGCACACTAATGCTTAATGCGTTTGCTTTCTATTCGCTAAGCGCACCTCAAATGGCTCGCGTGCTCAATAGTGCATCTGGTTTGCCTTCCCCCTTCAGCGCGCCCAGGCTGCTCTGCAGGCCGTCAACGCTCTGCACGGCGGCGGCGGGATCGCCGGCATGGCCATCGCGGCGGACGCCAGCGGCCTCGTGGGCGCCGCCGCTCAAAGTCCCGTTCTGCGAGTCATCGTGGAGAACCTCTTCTACCCGGTCACCCTGGACGTGCTGCACCAGGTGCGCAGAGACTGGGCGTCGCTTGCCCACCCGGCGCCCCCTCGGGCATTTGATCAAACGGGGCTGCTTTTAACATGCGCGCTTTTCACCTCTCCCTCAGATATTTTCCAAATTCGGCACAGTGCTGAAGATCATCACATTTACAAAGAACAACCAGTTCCAAGCTCTCATCCAGTATGCCGACGCCATGATGGCCCACAACGCCAAGGTAAGAGTTGGTCCAACCAAGGCGGAGGGGTGGCTCACTTTATAGCCTTTAGATTGATGAGCGCTGTGCGGTGATGGGAGATTATCCATGATTGTTACACTTAATTGGTTTGGAAATGTTTTTTTTTTTTTTTACTTTGGATTTAGCGGCAAATGTATCTGTTCATCAATGCCAGAATGTGACAGGCTTCTCCACTAGATGGCGGAAGACACACACACAACGTGGACCAAAGAGTTAGCATTCATACAATGGTGTTATTGCATGCACGGCAAGTAAATTTGAGATTAATTCAGACAGTTGTTTTTATTTCAGTGTAAAATATTTGCTTTGGCTCAATAGAATTTAGTCAACACTGTATTAGATAATGTCCCGTGTTTGTGCATCAACGAATGTTGGGTTCCCCCCAAAACTCAGGTCGCACCTCATGAAATGTAAGGGGAAACATCCATCCATTTTCTAATCCACTTATCCTCATTAGGGTCGGGGTTGTGCTGGTGCCTGTTCCAGCTGTCTTCAGGCAGTCGGTGGGGGACACCCTGTATAGGTTGCACGCCAATCGCAGGGCACACATAGACGAAGAACCATTCACACTTACACTTAGGGACAATTTAGAGTGTTCCATTAACCTACGGTGGATGTTTTTGGAATGTGGGAGGAAACCTTAGTACCTGGAGAAAAAAAACCCACGCAGGCACGGGAAGAGCCTCCAAACTCCACACAGGGAGGTCGGCGCCGGAATCGAACTCTGCACTGTGAGGCCGATGTGCCTGCCACCTAAGGGGCAAAAAAAAAAAAAAAAAGTGTCAGTATTGCTGACCCACAAGAAATTTGGTGGGTGTGTCAATCATAACAGGGCACACCACTTAAATCATCCTTACTTTTTTTTGTCTCAGTGTCTAGACGGGCAGAACATCTACAACGCCTGCTGCACGCTAAGAATCAGCTTCTCCAAGCTCACCAACCTGAATGTCAAATACAACAACGACAAGAGCAGGGACTACACCCGCCTGGATCTCCCCACCGCTGACACTCAGCCCACCCTGGACCACCAGACCATGGCAGCTGCTGCCTTTGGTAAAGAGACGACGATTCGTTCAATTTTTTTGAATACATTTCTAAATACAGGATGATGTGTCAAAAGTTTCTGTGGTACAAAACATGAAGCCCAGGAGGAGTGATTTCTAACCTTTGAGAAGTAAAGTGAAACAATGTGGTTACCCAAGTGTGCACACCCTCTAATGAGGCTGGTTTCATAAGAGTCGCATTCAAACGAACGTTAAATCGAAGTTGGTACACGCCTGCCGCCATTTGAAGGAACTCTGAACACCAAATAAAGTTGACGTCTGTTGTAGGCTTCACTTCTCCAACATTCCTGGAAAATCATAATGTCATCACTGGTGAGATATTTTTAGAACAGTGCAGGCCACTCATGTGCACTTTGGAGTGGGGGGGGGGGTCCCCTGGTGCGAGCGGGAAACCGCCTTGAGGTGTATAGGTGTGTTGAAAGTCATTAACATAGACTGCCTCCACCCCACAGCTGCACCAGGTATCATATCCGCCTCACCGTATGGAGGTGCACATGCATTCCCACCTGCCTTCGCCATCCAGCAAGCAGGTCAGTGCAGTCTCTTTACTCCAGCATCTTCTCTGTACAGTAGTGGCAATTTAGCGGTGTAGATAGGACCTTGTTTTTTTTTGTGTTTGTTTGTTTGTTTGTTTTTGTACCGTTTGCTCCTCTTTTAGGTCTTGCAATGCCCGGCATCCCCAGTGCCTTGGCGTCTCTGGGCGTCGGGCACAGCAGCATGGCCGCAGCAGCGGCCGCCGCTAGTCGCCTCAGCCTGGCCGGGCTCGCTGCCGCCAGCGGACACAACGTCTTGTTGGTCAGCAATCTGAACCCGGAGGTCAGTACACACTTGGCAAGGCTTTCTGAGCAGGCCGTAGCATGTTTGTGTGGCAGGCTGCTCAATGCCGCCCCCTTACAGGTGATCAGACTAGCCGGAGAGCAGCCAAAACTTTCAAGAGATCATTTTTAAAAAAAAAAAAAAAAAAGGGGCCATTTTGGTTAAAAGCACTTCTCTTTTAGGACCTCTTGTTTGTTTGACCAAACCTGCTGCATCTCTGACCTGCCACTTTGCTCACTGTGAAGTTTATTCAAGTACACTAACTTCTTGTTTTTGTTTAAAAAAAAAAAAAAAAAAAAAAAATTCCATATCTTTATTTTTTTTTTTTTTTTTTGTCCATAAGTTGAAATCATTCTTGAGTTGTTTGGAGAGACAATATTACTTTCTTACTGCTTACAAATGCGTCTTTAGGGCGTTTTTCCCTTTTTTGTTCAGCATCTGCCGAATTACTTGCATATCACTTGTGTTTCATCATTGTTTTAGGAAAAGATAAAAAGATGATGGATAATTTGGGATAACTGTTTAAACAGCTAAGTGTACCCCATGCTAAGTCGTCTAAGTGTAGCGTGTGATTTAAAAGTACATATTGTCTCTGCCTTTTTTCTGTATTTCATTGTTAATCTTTTTTTCTCTTCTTTTTCTCCTAGTGTTCCCCATAGTGACAGTGCATTTTAATTTAGCCAGTTCTACTGTCTGAAGCACTACATTTCTTTGTGTATACTGACCTTGTTTTTTATTTTTTACTTCCTTTCTCTCTCCCACTCTCTCTCCCCCTCCTTTTTTTTTTTTATTTTAACCCCCCTCCCCCCTTCCCTGTCCAATCCCGCCCCACTTATACTCTTGCCAACTCACTGCACGGCCAATGACCAATTACGCCCTCTCCTCCCGTTTTATTTTTTTCCCCCCCCCCCCCCCCCAAAAAATGGCCATTCAAATTGGATACCGCTGTCAAATAAATAATCACATCATTGCCACACCCCAATCGCCCCCACCCAACTGATTTTTGCCCCGAATATCCACATTCACACTGCCTCCTCCTCATCACCACCTCATCATCAACTCCCTCCTCCTCCTTGTTCTCCTCCTTGACCTCTCTCCATTCTCTCCTTCCACCATGGTACTGTGGCCTTCCCGTGGACCTTGCTGCCTGTGGCCTGCGGACATGTCCCGACTCCACTCCACTCCACTGTCCTCCACTCCTCGCCTCTTTTCCCCTGTACCCTGACAAACCACCCTTTTTGGCCCCGCTGCTCCCCCTGCTGTCTCTAAAGAGCGTTACGCCACACTGCCTCTTTATTCTTTTCGGTACGTTATCATCCTTTCATCTCCTTTTTTATTACTACTGTTACCTGGCAAGGTGGGCATGTCTTGGTCTCATGTTATTTTGGCTTTAAGTTTGATTTGATTTTCTTAGACGCTGATGGCTTGTCGTCAGCCAAGCCAAGGGAGGGGTGGGGGTTATTTGTCTTTGTGTGTGTGTGTGTGTGTGTGTGTGTGTGTGTGTGTGTGTGTGTGTGAGCGCGAGAGATCTGGTTTTGGATGACATGGGGGGGGGTTTTGAGAGACATGGAGGCTCAGTGTGCTCAGACCTGCAGCATTTAATTTTTGAACAGCTGTTGTTCTTGAAAACACCCCCCCCAAAAGAGCATCACCCTCAGTGGAGGTGATGCTCTCTGACGACAAGCTGCTGCTATAATTGGTTTCTCCATTTTTGGGGGGGGGGGGGGATTACAAGTGGCAATTAAAAAAAAAAATCTGAAACAACAGAAAAAAAAAAACAAATGCTGCAGCTCAAAAGTTGATGTGAGACCCCTGGGATGATGTCCTTTGTAGTTCCTTCAGTGTTGATTTATGCATGTGTAGTTTTACTCCTGCATGATTTTGGCTAGATTTCCAGGTTGTTTAAGAATCAATGTCATGCCAAAGCAATCAAACCCCTTAAACTTATTACTTTTATTTCCTTTCACCCCCAACCCCTTTAAATCTGCCCCCCCCCTCCTTACAGCATAACTTTAAAAATTGTATTCTACAGCTGTCCTGTCTTAACAAAAGGCTCCTTATTTAGGGTTAGACTGATTCGCCACCAGATCGAATTTAGTTCAGCCTCAAATCAGCACGCGTTCATTCATTCGCTAGAAGATTCCGTAGCATCATTATTAAAATTGTGTTGGCTGCTGTGATTGGTTGTGTGTGACTCTTGACAACTACACCCAGTTCCACCGTCTGCCCGCCCTCCCGTCTGACGGTGTGCTCCTATTCTTCAGGTGTGTATGGCGACGTGATGAGAGTCAAGATCCTGTTCAATAAAAAGGAGAACGCTCTGATCCAGATGGCGGATGGCACACAGGCTCAACTAGGTAGCACCAGTTCTTCCTTTCTTATGTGTGCATATGTACAGATTTACTGTTCATAGTTTTATTCATTTCATTCGTGGGTTATGATCGATTTTTGCCATGCAAAATGGCCACATACCTGTGCTCAACAGTGAAGCTTCCATGTAAAATCATAGGCAGGCAAACTAGTTCCAGTTGTAGTTTTTGGCAATCTCTAGTTTTCAAAACGCTAGCTGGTATTCGATGCTACGCGCGCGAAGGAAAATGGAAAAGGTTTGCGCTTTAATAGAGCAAGACATGCTACCGCTATCATTGCTCTCTGTGCCTTTGTGTCACGATTCAGGCTTCGAGTATGACGTTGTGGGGTGGGTTTTTTTTTTTTTTTTTTCTCCTCCTCTCCTGAGGTGGTTTGATTTCAATGGATCATCATTTGAATGCGAGTCCTTGGCACGGGTACATAGCTGCCATTAAAAAAAATACACGAAGAATTTGCAATATCCGTCCAGGCCATACTTTTTGTTTTTAGACTTGCATTTCTGCAGCGTACTGAGAGGCTAACCGATGTTGTTTAATCTGGACTTTGTCGTAGCCATTAGCCACCTGAACGGCCAGCGGCTGCACGGCAGGGCCATTCGCGTGACGGTGTCCAAGCACACCACGGTGCAGTTGCCGCGAGAAGGCCAGGAGGACCAGGGCCTGACCAAAGACTTCAGCAACTCGCCGCTGCATCGCTTCAAGAAGCCCGGTTCCAAGAACTACTCAAACATCTTTCCGCCCTCAGCCACGCTCCATTTGTCCAACATACCGTGAGTCGTTCTTTGTCATGGTAGCTTTAAGGTTCGAACCACGCGGACCGAGCCCTTCGACATTGATGCTGGATGGACTAAAATGTTTATATGATCTCAATAATTGAAACCTTAACTCTACCATAAACTATGATGGCAAAGGTTTACATTGAACCTCAAGTAATCTCAAAATGAGTTAATGCCTGTACATGCTACAAGATGGCGGCAAAACATTATTTTTGTTGAAATGACAGTCCACTACTTTTTTTTTTCCCCTCTTGACACCAAGATGGCGCCAAAGGACGACTTGTATTTCTTTGGCCCAAGTATGAAAACGGGATGAAAATGTTGGACTTCATTGTAATATTTCAAGTTCATCTTAGATTGCCTTAAAAATAATAGCTTGCAGATGATTTGATAAATGTGAAAAATTGACTGTAGTTGCAATGTGCACACGCGTCCTTTCTACTAACAACCCAGAATTAGCTCTTGACACACACGGCTTGTTGCTTAGTTGAGATGTATGACTTAGTATTTCCTTGACACCAGTTATTGTTAAGGCCATTTTAGACAAGGTCAAAAAACTGTAAAATTCTGTGTTTTTCAGTGCGAGTTTGACAGAAAACCACATGTACAGCACTTTGTATGCAGCAATGGCTGTTTGAAAGTGCTCTATAAATACCGTTGAGTTGAGAGTAGTTGAAATAATGGCTTGCCGAGAATTGCCGTACGAGAAGAAATGGAAGCTCACAACTTTGCCCCCAACCTTCAGGCCCGCCGTGGTGGAGGAAGACCTCAAGAGGCTTTTTGCCAGCTCAGGAGCCACGGTCAAAGCCTTCAAGTTTTTTCAGTAAGGCACCTCACACCTACTCCCCTCCTTTAATTGTTCTTCCTCTTTTGAGGCCAAGTATCAAGCCCCTTTCTTCTCTTGAACAGGAACGACCGCAAGATGGCCCTGATCCAGATGGGCTCGGTGGAGGAGGCCATCGAGTGCCTGATTGAGTTCCACAACCACGACCTGGGCGAGAACCATCACCTTAGAGTGTCCTTCTCAAAATCCACCATCTGAGTGCCTTCAGCTCCCCCACCGAAGCGCATTTCACCATCTTGATTGCGCACCGTTCTCCCGGTCGCACTCGGTGGAAATTACAGGTTTTGTAGTTGTTTCTCTGCGGAAAATAACTCCCCTTCAGTGTCATCAGAGCAAAATCTGATTCCCCCCCTTTATTTTATGATCCCCCTTATATATATCAAATGGCACCATGTATGTTGATCAGAGCAATGGCTAGTTGGTTTACTTTTGTCTGGGGAAAAAAACAAAACGGTGCTCAGGTCTCAAAAAGGAAGTTTTATGATTCAGGGAAAAGCTTCCAGCCTTATATGAAAATGTTTTAAGACTTTAATTTTAAAGAGCCCTCTTCAATATCTGAGCGATACAATAATGAAAAAGCACAACTGATTTGGAAAGAAAAGCGCGCCGGACCAGATCTGGCATCTGCTCTTTTGGTACACAAACTAAAAGCGAGCGAAGGTCTGCATTGAGACCGCAAGAAAGACACATCGGAAGTTGAGGCAGCTGATGAACTTAAAAAGACCAAATTGTATAAAATGGCCAGCGGCATTCGTACTCGACACACTTCAGCATTCCTGTTGCGACGACATGTGCCTCCCCCCACTGCCCGTTTGGCCGGTCGGACATGATATAAGGCGAATTCCCAGATCACCAAACGTCTTCATGTCCCGTTTTTTTTTAAATGCCATCTTCTTGTAAGGCTGTTTGCTCATTGGGATGTGCACCACTATCCATAGTACACTATCTGTCCGTCAAGCAAAGCTATCTTTATGGACTACACAGTCATGTGCCTTACTCGCCACCCAACCTTTCCGAGCCGCCCGCCTTAAGTGTCACTCCGGCGTCAGGGAGGGGAAGTTGAGGCTCGTTCTATGAAGAAGAAAGAAAAAAAAACCCCCCACAAATGTTTACTAAAGATTTGTGTGTGCATGTATCCCAATATCTATGTAGAAACGATGAATGTAAGTCCAGATAGGCGATGCTAGGCCATGTAGCGCTCTTAAGGTATCGTGTCGCAGGCTCATTTAACCTTACCTTGCATTCGTTTATATGTGGATACCTATACATTTATCTATATTTCATTTTCTCTTTTTTTTTTTTAATGTTTAGCATTTACGTCATGAAATTGTTAGTGGAGCTGGCAGGGCTACCTTGAGGCCCACATACTTTGTGGTCCAGCTTGCCTTTTTTTTTCTTCCTTATTATTGTAGATTACTTTCTTAGTTCTTTGTTTTTTGTATTTTTTTTTAATTGTTGGTGGTAGTCCCCCCCCCCCCCCCCCCCCCCCCTGCCCCCCCCCCCCCCCCCATCACCATCCCGCTCACCTGGCTGCTCACGTTCAGTTTGACCACCAAACTCAGGTAATGCTACCTGTTAGGGGACAGCTGCGAGGTGGTGTTTTCCATTGGCGACTTGACTTACGCTACAGTCAAGTGCTATAGTGCACTTTTTTTTTCTTAACCCACCCAAAAAAAAGTCTTAAGCGCTGTCACATTCCCCGAGTGCCTCCAGCGCCGGTTCTTCACAAGCCTTTGACCATTGTATAGTCCCGATCCAGATGTGCGCACACATTCACTCGAGCGTTTTTTTTTTGTATGTGTGTGTGCCGTCTATTTTTGTACAAGATTATGCATGGTTTAACAAATGTAGCTACAGACAAACGGTTGTTGTTGTTCTTCTTGCTCTTAAGGACCAAAGTACCTTCTCCCCGGTGAGGTTTTGTAGTGTTGTGATTTAAGGGGTTGTATAGCCCATGCAAGTGAGTTTGCCCCCATTCCATGCAAGTGAGTTCCCCCTACCCTTTATCTCACAAAAGGCTGTTTTTTTCCCTCCTATTCCACATAGTTAAGATTTTGCCTTCTATTCCACGCAAAAGGCAGACCTCGGTTGCCTTTCCTCAGTTGCCTTTCCATGGATATGCCTTCGACGCACAACTTGAGTACAAACCAATACTGTACGTCTGGCCCACTTGCGTTCCCCTCCTCAATGTTGCAAAGCGCCCAACAAGATGTCTTTCAAATGGTTTAGATGATCACGTTTTTTTTTTTTTTTTTTTTTTTTTGCGATTCAAGCTTTTGTTTTTTTATACAGGGGGTGTGCGAGGGTGGGGGGTTATTGTATGACGCAGGGCTGACGGTTGTATATATTCATGTTTTTGTACCACACAATCATTTGGATTATATTGACGTTGCGTTTCAAAACATGTATATTTTGATATGACAATACCAGACCGATAAAAAAAAGCTCCCTTCCTCGTTCAGGGGCTTTAAAAACAATGTTTGTAACACAAAGACATTAAAACTGGTATAAACACACGTGTCTCTGGATCTAGCCCCTCCCTCTCCCCCGCCCACCATCTTGTTCTCTTTACTTTTGCTGCCTTCAATAAATCTTTAGTTGGTTCCTTTCATCTGGCCTCAGTTGATTTCTCTTTCTTTACTGTCCTGTGAAGCTGATGCCTAATTAACATCTTGTAGCATTTTCCGCCATCACGTTTTACTCCCTTTATTTTTTTGTTGAATCTTGCTGCATTTCCAGCTTTATTCATCTTTAAACATGGACCAACTTTGCCTGTCTGGGTTCAACCAAACTGACTAAAAGGGCGAGGGGGAACTGCATTCCTCTTAAGATGCACTGGCTGAGCAGGGCGTTCTCTCTTACCGCCTCCGTACACAAATTGTAATAGCTCTATGAAAATGCTTTTTAGATTTCTCTGAAGCGTTTTACATTTATTTTCAACATGCTGTTAATGGTTGCAGTGCTACCAGTATGTGGACGGTAATTTTTTTCTAGGCCCAGTAAAATTTCAGTTTTGCTGCCGTATCAGTTTAATCTGCCCAGGGCCTTTTATGATCAGTAGTGATGGCCGTTTTAACTGAGTGAGGCACGTGTTTTAATTATACCATGACCAAAATGTTTTTGAAACGGTAGAACAGTAATTTAACAGAACGTAAATCTGATTTAACGCCTCAATCGTGCTGGCCCTTCTCGTATGCCCACCTTGGCCACCGGGAGGCAGTATAATATAGTCCTAAAGCATGTCACTCGTTGACTCAGTAAGGTGCAACATGTTGGGTGTTTTTGTAGAGGAAAGAAAAAATATATATCCTTGTTAATCTTGTTGAAGTCAGTACATTTATTTCCCACCGTTGAGTTCAGATATCAGGCACCTGAAAGGGCAACCCTGCCACATATACGGTCATCGTTAGGCCCTCAATGGTATTTATCCACGTTAGCATTAAGCTAGCTGCCGTATTTTAAGTAAAAGGTCGTTGGTAGTTTTAAATGTGTAATTCACTTTTTTCCCCCTTGGTTCTTCCACTGAAGCCTCTCTCTTTTTTTTTTTTTTTTTTTTTTTAATCTGTCAAAATTCTGCTTTTTGTGAAGTGAGTTGTTTGTTGCCACCAAATGGCACTCAAATTTGTGTCCACAAACTACGCAATCTCCGTATTGCTTTAATCATATTTTGGACGTGGAGACGATATTAGTCTGTTCATTCACAACTGAAGGCCAAAGTAAGAAATCATTTGCCCACCACTGATCTTTCACTGTCCTGATTTTGCTCATATTGGCAGTCTGGAGAATCTGCACTCCCTTTGTAGTCCGCCAGGGGAAAGTGTTGCTCCCTGGTGGCCCCACAGGGCTGACTTTACCTGCCAGCCCTCACAATGTCAAGAGTGTGACACTTAATCTCAAGTGGCTCCTCCTGGCTTTGAGGTATTAGGACCCTCTGCCTTCCTTTTTGTCCCGACTCCCTGACAGAGCGACGACGGGGATTAACCTCCGTTCTCTGCCGTCTGCAGAGACGAGGACAAACGTGAATTGGCGAATGCGACGCGACGAGCTGGGTGTGTTGTCCTTAAAATGAAGCACTTGGCTGCATACCTCGCATGAGAATGCAGCCTTTGAAGGTCACACCAAGTGTCCTGATTTTGGATGGCGATGCATCCCCTACTTCTTGTCATTGGTCGCTTGCGGACAACGTGGGGACAATTAAGAGCAGTGGTGCTCAATCTAGTGTCGCCTATTAAGCAAAACATTCTGCCATCAACTGTTATAATTTGAATTTGTGCATACCTACAGTGGTTCAATGTGTGGGAACAATACAGTGGGAACAAAAAAATGGTTGCACAAGTGTGCACACTCTCTGATAACTGCGATTGAACTCTGTTTCGATTCACCAATCGCATTTGAACTCTTGAGTGTCAGCACAGCTGCCACCGTTTAAACTGTCTGACCCCAAAGTTGGCTTTTCTTGGCGTTTTTGTCGTCACATCTCGGAGCATAAGCCAGATGAACAGAGATCTTAACATCAGAGGCATTTCACATTTCAAAAGTATTAGTAGAGGCAAGGAAGAGTTTCCAAAGCATGAAACACAACATGGAGCTCAGTGAAGACAGTCATCAAGTGAAGAAAGTATGGCACAGGAGCAACCAGGCCCTGGATGTCTTCCCAATCTTGATGAAAGGATAAAACTGGTCAGGGAGGCTGACGACAAACATCAAAGTAGGGGTGTGCAGGCTTTGTAGATTTCTTGCTTGTATGGTGACCGGTGTGCCAATAAAACCGAAATTTCCCGTCCTCCTTTGACCCATGTTTACAGCAGTGTCCGATTCACTGCGGAATAAGTTGAAATGCAAAGAGATTGTGTAATTGGGCAGGAGCGGAATTTCAAAACCAGATCATCCAAGCATAGCTTTGCTTTTTTTTTTTTTTTTTTTTTTTTTAAGTAACAGTGAATTCCAAAAAGTTCCAAGTGCGCAACTCGGTATCGTTTTATCTTCAACTGGCTCACGCTAGACTAGAGGACAGCCTTTTGCAAACGCTTAACTTTCGGAGATACCTCAAAGGGCGGAACAAGGGAGACGTTGTCATCACTGGGCATTCCCGATCCGGTTTAAAATCCAAAGCATGTGGGGGGGGGGGGGTTGTCCACATCTGGCATCACTTATTGACATCAACGCGGCGCTCTCTAATCAAGCAAATACAACCGGCCACACATGCCTGAGCTGGCCCTCCCTGCTCGGCCCCGTTTCGGATAGCGTTTGGGCCATTTTTTTTTTTTTACGTTTATAACTTGATGAATCCCAGGAAGAAGCTTTTTCGATGTCGGGCAAAGGGAGGGAAGTCTGAAGTGATACTTGGGTCGTACCTGGTTGCAGTTGAAAACATCCCCAATCCAATGATCCTTTTCCGTTGCAACCTGCAATTAGTGTGTGATACGAGTACGTTTGGATTTTGCACCAGTGGAAGAGACGACTTTGTATTCGTGCAGGGCCTTTTTTCTTTTTTTTTTTTTTTTTTTGAAAGGAGACAGTTGCTCTATGGGCCACAGTTAAACCAGTCATCCCTCCACATCTGAATCCCCTCAAATACCGTTTAGGCTGCACAGCTTATGTGATTTAGACTCAATGTCAGCGTGACAGCAGAGGAGCAAAAGCGTCTTTTTGCTTCATGGTGGCTTGCGTGGCAAAACGTAAAGGCAAGAACCGTGGGTCTTCTACACCCTGGAGTTCTTGAATCTATACATCGCTGCCAGTCGGGAGTGCCAGGAAAGAATGTCTCTGTGAGACGTAATGGCAAGGTTTTACAGGCAAATTGTCCAATTTTGCTGCCGTGCTTTGCCCGCCCGTGCAAGTTTGCATCGCCCGTCTGTCGAGTGTACGTGGTTCGAATTTGATCGTAACCGGACAAAATCTATGGGGCAAATTCACTTTTAAAAGCCTTTGAAATGGTTCAAATGGCCACTTAAAACCAAAATGGCAGACTTTCGGAGTCTTTTCCCGTATGAAATCGTCTGATATATATATTTTTTTTTTTGGTGGGTTGTACACATGAAAGACATGCCTGCCAAATTTCATGTTGCTGAGTGAAGCAGCGCTCGGGGGCTGAATTGTCAACTCGCCTTGATGTCACATCTCAGAATATGGCCCAAAAAATCCTCAAATAGCTGCTCGAAACCAAAATTGTCTTTCCAATTATTGCTTCTTGAGATTTTTTTTGGTGGCTCTACTCAAAAGACATACCAACTGGTCCTTGAGGATGCTAAATGGCCCCTCTTAGGGGGAAAAAAATGTTTCCTTACAACAACAACAAAAAAAAGCAGCGCAGCCAACCAGGAGACGGTCCACCTGTTTACATATGCAGGCCTCTCAGACAGATGTTGAATAATTCATCCCCGCGGGCGGACGACATGCGGCTGTATTTGGGTTACGCTTCTGCTATGTGTGTGCGCCTTTTATCCCCACCAAATCCGAGGCTACTTTTCAAGAAGTAGGGCACCAAGTAGGCACAATGGAAGTGTCGTCTTGCTTTTTATGATCTTCTCAGCGGGCGCAGTCTCCATATCGCCAGGATATTTTCTGTCCGTCACTCACGATGAAATCTCAGTCATCCGCGCTCAAAATTCGGAAAAAAAGCACCTGTGTTTGTTGTAGTTGTCATAAGACCACGGTTGTTATAGTTGACGAAAAACGATCACAAATACTAAAAATTGGGGAAAAAAAATGTCAATGAAATAAAATGAAGGCGGCCTGGTGGATCGTAAAATGAATGGATGGATGGAAATAACATAAAAATGCTTTTAAAATAAGTACACAAACTGTAATTATCGTGAAAATGTCCTTGGGTTTTCGTCTCTGTCAATATCATACATGAGCTTCCCGGATTCATTCGAAATGTATTTCTTTCAAAAATATACAGAAGAAAGGTCAACCAGTTGTTTTAGAATTGTTGTGTACTTTAGGCCTTAATAATAGGGACTTTTTTCAAAAATCTTGCGGTAAACACAAACTCCATATATAAAAAAAACTAAAACTAATACTAAAACAAATTTGAAAAATTCAGCATTTTTGAAACAAACAAGTGTGCCTTAAAATCGAATTAAAACGAACTGAATTTAAAAAAAAAAGTTTTTGTTTTTTTTTTGCTTGTTTCTCCCATTTGTACAGCAGAAAAGTAAATTTAAGATCTGCTTTTTTGGTCGGATTTTGTTGATTCGCCCTCCTCCTCATTGTTTAGACATATTTTGAACAGCAGCAATTATGCTCGGTCTCAACTTCTTGTCTCTAAAATATTTTTAGCCACATAAAGGTCGAGCGAAAAAAAAAAACGGAGCTACAAGTAAGCCTCAACCAGCTCATTTCAAATAAAACGGAACTTGATTCAACTGTCAAAGCTTCACTCAGCATCATTTTTGAAATCCCCTGCAACAGGATTGCGCCAAACGCAGCAACACGACATATGATGGAAAGTTTGATTGTACATAACCGTTGCCTTAATTGTCCCCCAATTCTGGACTGACTCATAAAAGTGACGAAGAGCTCGAAGCAGGGCCGTATATCACCTGACTGGCGACGAGGTGTTTTGGTCGGCGAACCCCCCGCCCAGCCCAGCCCTGCCCTCCCAGTGTCTGGTGCTTTTATGGCGCCGCGCGTTTTTTACACCCGGCTGCATGCGCCGCCCTTTTTGGGCCCCCACTTTGGACAGCGCGGGCCGCGCTCCATCCATGCGTCAGGCGCCACCGCTTTCCCTCCTCGCCATTCATCTTCGCCTCAGCTTTCAAACGGGCTGAACTTTACGGCGAGCTTTAAATGCGTCTTAAAAACGCCTTCGGGGTATGGGGGAGTGGCGCCGGAGCACTGGACGGTTGAATCGTGCTCTCTGGACACAGCATTAGGTACACGTCTGTCCACCGAAGCCCAAAGTCAAAACATAATGTGAGGATTTTTTTTTTTTCCCTGCTCGTTTGTGATGCCGCTTATCATTGTTATTTTACGATTTCGGAGGATTCACATGTGAGGGTTGGCTGCTCCGACTACCAGGTTTAAATCCAAACACGCTCGTTCCTGGTCGCCTCTGGAAAATGGGTATTTTCCACTGGCAAAACAAGGTGCCGCAATCAATTACTATTTATCAAATCTATTGTTGTAGTGAGTGGCGGCCCAGTGGTCCAGTGGTTAGCGCGTCGATCTCACAGTGCAGAGGTACCGGGTTCAATTCCAGCACCGGCCTCCCTGTGTGGAGTTTGCATGTTCTCACCGGGTCCGCGTGGGTTTTCTCCGGGTACTCCGGTTTCCTCCTACATTCCAAAAAACATGCGTGGGAGGCTGATTGAACACTCCAAATTGTCCCTAAGTGTGAGTGTGAGCGTGGATGGTCGTTCGTCTCTGTGTGCCCTGGCAACCGGTTCAGGGTGTCCCCCGCCTACTGCCCGAACACGGCTGGGATAGGCTCCAGCACGCCCCTTGTGAGGATAAAGCGGGGCAGAAAATGGATGGATGGATTGATGTGTTTACATCGTCTTAAAATACAATATTCTGTCAGCCTTGAAAGAGGAGTCAGGGGGAGTTCCTCAGGGCCCCAAATTGCGCCCCTTCTGGTAAATCAAGGTACCTCGCAGCCACACCCGTCCTGATGTTGCAGTAACCTCAATTTCCGGTTCTGTAGTAATACCCCCCTTTATCTTTTCCAAACACTCATACTGCAAAATGTTTTTTTTTGGGCGGGGGGGGAGCGAGAGCCTCACTCTCACGCGGAGAGGGAGAAGTGGAAGGCTGCGTGGCGCGGGAAGCGTTTTTGGACGTGGTGGATTGTACGCGCGTGGGCAGGATGCGTCGAGTTCGGACGCACATTCGCTGGATGTACCGCAGCCTGCTTTTTTCGGCGTGCACCTGAACGCCGTCGTTGCCGGAGCTTGATTCCAAAAAGAATCACAACATCAGCCTTCGCCTGTTTTTACCGCGTGATGCCGGGAGAAAAGTTTGGGAGGAGACGCAGACGAAGCCCCCCCCCCCCCACACGGCAATACCGGCAAGCAGCAGACTCTCCCCCCACCCCACGACAGTGTGAGTACCCCACGAGCCCCGCGCGCACTTCTTCCATCTGCTCCTCTTCCTTCCACTTTTTTCAGCGAGACCGTCTCAACTTTCCAGGATGACTTGAGGAGTCGTCGTTGAGGATCCGAGGAGCAGCCAAGACGACTAGAGAGCGCGAGAGAGGCAAAAACAAAAGAAAAACAAAAAACGGGCTCCAGAAGAGAACGCGAACCTTCACGATGGCAGTCAAGTGCGGAGCGATGGAGGTGCTGATCCTGACCGCGCTCTCGTGGATGTGCGTGTGGGCCGAGGAGAAGATCATCTTTGACAGGCACTCCGTCTACTGGAACAGCTCCAACCCCAAGTGAGTGCGGCGGTGTGTGCGCATGCGCGGGCTTAATTACGGATGCAATTTCTGATTTCTGACGCACATTGTCCACTTCAGAAGACGCCCAAATTGTTGTTGTTGTTGTTTTTTTGTTTTTTTTAAGTCAAGTCTCCGAAACATGATCAGGATTTTTTTTTACAGAATTTTCCCCTCACAAAAACGAAATTGAAAATCTATGCCAGTTAGGATGAAGCTCAGCACTTCGTTTCTGACACATATTTGAATATTGAGCGGTGTCCAATGTGCAGCACGGGGGCCCTTATGTGGACCATTATTTTCTTTGTTCATGACATAAAAAAGTAAACAAATTAATTAAATTAGAATGAAAAATTCTTACCAAACAAACCCCCTAACTGATATTGGATTTAATTTTCCAAAACGTACTAAAACAAACTACAATTACAGCAGAAGCGTCCTCCATGTTCATCTTTGGCAATTACTTTTACGCCTGATCCTTTGGAGTTGATTTTGAATGTAATTTTAGGTTGTTGTTGTTTTCTCAGAAGGACGTTTGAACAGTCGGCTGTAGTCCTGTTAATGTGTATCATTCAGAAGCAATGTCGTCTATCAGCAGCTTAAAAAAAAAAAAAAAAAAAAAACGCCACCAGATAACTTTGCTCTTAGGTGTTTGGTCCCAATTACGAGTTTCCTGTTAATTAATTTGTCACGAGCGTACCACAGTGTCACTTTAGTAGTACGTAGTTCGCCCAATTGGTCGGCATTTTTCCATGTAAAAACAACACTCCAAACTGACAAATGCACACACACACACACACACACACACACACACACACACACACACACACACACACACACACACACACACACACACACACACACACATATGCACAGAGTGAGCTTGCAGTTGCATCTGTGACTACATCACTTCTCCACTGAAGCCATCTCAAATATTTAACAGGCGATGGGTGGAACATTTTCTTCCTTTCTTGCTCTCTTTTCCTCTCTGTGCCCTTTCACACTCTCCTTTTTTTTTTTCTGTGCGCGTGCACATAACGCAAACATCAGCGGCTATGTTTAAACTATATGCACGGTTGCCGGGGGCGATGTGATTCCATCAGGGAATGGCCTTTGTAGGGGGGAGGGCTGGTGTGTGTGTGTGTGTGTGTGTCATGTCTCCGGACCGGGTGGGGGGCATATCAAAAATGCATTGCAATGAATCAGGACTGTGACGCTGGTGAACTTGCTTCCCCCTTGTTTGGACCTGCTCTGTGTTCATTGAGGACATTCGTTAGACGTACAAGGCTATTTATACACAGTAAAGCCAAGATATGGATCCCCCCCCCCCCCCACTCACGCACATCTCAGCATACTGTATGTCACTCGCACGTTCTTGTTGATGTTGCTGTGCAGGGCTGGAACGTATTATGGCACAATGGAAAATGCACTTGTGCCGGTGCAATGCTTTCAAGTCTGTGAAGTCCTTCATATTGTACAAAATCAAACTGTTTCGATATACATTATTTGTGATGTATTATAAAAATGAAATTATTTCTTAACCCCCCCCCCGCCCGCCTCCCCATAAAAGGTTAAGTGAAAAAAAGATGCAAATATCATAAGGAGATTTTGCGAATGCAATCCAACAAAATGGTGAAGCTATGCAAAAACAGACACATTTGTCCCATTGAAATACATTGGTAATGCATAAAAAAAAAATAGAACAAAAATTAAACAGAACCAAAAAATATCATGAGGGTGAAGTTACATTTTTCAGAAATTTGCCTATGCAGTTTTAATAATTAATTTCATAATCATGAAATAAATATGGCAAAGCTCCATGTTTGCGCCATTGAAAACCATTTCAAATGCTGTTTTTTTTTAATCCGAGATTTTAAAGGGAAAAAAGATGTTTATTTCTGTAAGGAGAACAAAATAATATTTCTGAAGAATTTTACAAATACACTTACAATTAAACAAAATGGCAGAGCTATGGAATAACTGTCATATTTGTCCCATTGAAAACCATTGGAAAGGCTTCTTTTTTTTTTTATCCAAGTTTTTGTGAAGAGAAAATTTTGAGTAAAAATATATGTAAAAAATAGTATGGGACGGATGAAATTTTTCAGAATTTAAAAAATTGATAATTTTTCAGAATTTTAAAAATTGATAATTAATCAAAATCACAAAGCCATGCAAAAAGAAAAACATCATTTGTCTCATTGGAAATGCGAATACCAGCCGCCTGTTTCTGTGTAGTGATGTCATCTGATTCAGACCTCGTCAAAAACCTTGGCTACTTTCTTGCAATGTCGTCTCGTTCAATTAAATGCAGGAGCTTCACTTTGTTCCACGGCGATATTGAATGCCTCGGAAATTCTTTTGTAGCCTTTCCCTGGCTGCTACCTTTTGAACAAAGTGAGCCCTCTGATGCCGCCGAAGCTCTCTGTGGCCCGTGGCCTGCGCTGTAAGATGTGACAACAAAGAAATGTCAGGAAAATCCTACTAGAACAGCTGAACTTGATTCCGGGTTATTGTGAGGCCACAGTTGTGCACTGAGTCACATTTAACCGGGATTTTGATTTTTTGACTCGGATAACAGCCACGCCCCCCCTGCCC